TGGCTCAGAACTTGTGACCATCTTAGCAAGGGCCATAAAGAAGGCTATTAAAAAGGTCCAGCATGGGGCAAAAGCAACAATATAAATAGGGCCCTACCAAATTCATGACCGTGAAAAACACCTCACAGATTGTGAAATCTGGTCTTTTGTATACTATACAGATTTCACGGGGAAGACCAGCATTTCTCGAAATGCGGGTCCTGACTCAAAAAAGAGTTGTGGGGGGTTGCAAGGTTATTGTATGGAGGTCATGGTATTGCCACCTTTACATCTGTGCTGTTTTCAGAGCTGGGTGGCCAGAAAGCAGCAGCTGCTGGCCAGGCACCCAGCTCTGAAGGCAGCGTCCCACCGGCAGCAGCGCAGAAGTAAGGGTGGCAATACCATACCATGCCACCCTTATTTCTGCACTGCTGCCTTCAGAGGTGGGTCAGGATCCCTACAGATACAACACTGTGAAATTTCAGATTTAAATAGCTGAAATCATGAACTTTACGATTTTTAAAATCCTATGACTGTGAAATTGACCAAAATGGACCATGAATTTGGTAGGGCCCTAAATATAAAGCAGGTAAGAATATTCCAGTACTTGGAGGACACAATTCCTTACTCTCCCAAGTACTCTGAAAGGCTATAAACACATACATTGGGGTGAAAAACCTCATGGCTGCCAGAGTTTAGTACACCAGCCAGGATGTTGGGGGGTACAGTTCCAGGCAGTTTGTCATTGCACACATGGCTTTCCTCACATTCCATAGCCTTTCCCTATTATACTCCTTACTGCCTTCCTTTGCCCACAAATATGTAAGACGAAAGCCCCTGAAATAAAGGCATCATTCAGTGAACAAAAATGTAGCCTAAGAGAACCAATTAAAATGATGAAAATCTTTAATTTTTATTTAGGTATAATTGTACGGACACGTGTATATACAAATACAGATCTTATGGGTTTTTTTTTTTAACATTTTCTTTTAAGTTCATATAATGTAAGCATTTCAAAAACAGCACTCAATGAATAAGTGCAAAGAAACTGCAAAGCAGGGCAGTACAAGCACAGGACCACACTGAGCTGGACTTTCATACCCAGATGCACACACAATGAGTGGCTTCAATGGGGTGTCAAGAGTAAGCATGGAAAGCGGATTTTGCAGACTCATGGGTAACCTCCAACATGCCAGCATCTATTAAACTGTACAGACAATGGCAGCAAGCCTATTGTAGGGAGATTTGTCTCACATCCGAGAAGCTCAGGGGCGAATGCATGGGAAAAACTCAGTGATGCCAAACCAGAAACAGATCTGCCCATTCACTGCTCCAAATTAAAAGGAGGGGGAGGGGAGTAAAGTGGGGAGTTGTAAAGTAAAACTGGTGAGCACAAATCTGAGTGGATGGATGAATGGAGGGGAAAAGTTAAATTATTTTCTGATTTTCTGAAACTGAAAGAACACTTGCTCTCTTGAGGCAATAGATAAAGTTCAGTTTCTAGGAAAAATCAACAGGTACAAATACAATCCCTTTCCTTCCACAAATATACAGGAAAGGAAATAATCCACGTTTGACCCTCCCAAGTCTGTTGCTTGTTGTTTTGGAATCAAGTCCATGCACATGTCACACATGATACTGGCAAGATCCCTCTGGGGGAAAAAAAACTATCCATGAAGGGAGAGGAAGGAAAACAGAAAACAACAAAGGATAAAGAAAACAAAGGAATAGAAGGGTTGTTCAATCCCCAAAGCCTTTTAGAAACCAACATGTTAAAAAACCCAAAACAAAACAAAAAACGAACACAAAAAAACCACACGCTGTAACATCAGACCTTTAAACACTGAGGACAAAACATTGATCATCAAAAGTCATGTTGTTCCAGGTCTTGACATTGTGAAGTCTTGAGATCAGGTGAACAGTTTTCACAGATGAGTCCTGTATGATGCAGTGTCATGGCCCCTTATAACTCAGTTCTCAGCCATGATTACACTTGATGCTTCAAAGCTCTGTCTTATAATCAATGCATGTTTTTAATATCCGGAAAGTCTATTGTTCTCACTTACAAAAGACATAAGAATCAAATTAATACTTTATTATCAAACACTATATACAACAGAGGTTGCTAAATACAGAATTTAAAGAACATAGCATTTTTTAAAGTTTTACTTGTCTTTCCTTTGCCATCCAAGAAAGTACAGTACAAAACAATATTCTAAACTAACACGAAATGTTACCTTGTCTATTAAAGGATACATAGTATCCACTAAACAGACTGATCCTTATTTCCCTGCTTCACGTTGCAAAGCCCTTGGCAACCAGGAGTGCAGGTCACGGGGGTGAACTATCTGGGCTGAGAGATGTCTGTTGCAGAATTAGTTAGTCCCTCAGACTTCACAGGGTGTTTGTGTGTGTGTGTGGGGGGGGGAGCTGCTTAAACTTGCACCAACATCCTTCAAAGCTTCCAGAGTTTTGTAACTCAGCACAACAAACACCAAAGATTCAATGGTTTGCAGGTCTTGCTTACTTGATATGACTGGGATTACCTGATGCCATCAAGTATCCAAGCTGATGTCCAGTAAGCTTGCAATTCACAGTTATATTATTCTATGTAGTGTAGTAGTCTGTCGATTAGCGGTGATAGTCTTGCTATTATTAATTTAGTTAGCGCTGGCAAAGTGGTAAAATAAAGGATTGAATTTCACTGTGGAAAACACTAGTGAAAAAACGTTTGCTCTTGATAAGTGTGGGTTTTTGAGCATGGGCATAATTTGGAGGAGATGGGGGCATTGCCCCCCCCCCCAAACTGCAAGCCTTGGGCAGGCATGGAATTTGCCCCCCTCCTCCTCCCATTGTCCTTACTGGAGCTGCCCCTTCCCAATATAGAAGTCAAACTAACCTATGGTTGTGAGAGTCCATTGTCATTGATAGACAAATGATAGAACACAATGAAATTCACCACTTCTAAAATAAAATCAGCACTATCAATATAAGTATGACTAAGTGCAACCAATTTGAATCCTTTTAAATATGCTTACCTAGCAATATTATCTTTTCTCTGTCTATTATAAGGTGTTTTTTATCCTTAAGCCCACCTCCCCCAAAGTTCTGTAATTCTTAGCTGAAGGAAACATTAGCATGTGCACCAACTATCCATACTGGAGAAAGAGAAATTTACTGACTATATTGTAATGAAATGGTGATTTTTTTTCAGTGTCTAGACTGTGGTTTTTCATTGTGTGTGTGTTCGATATTAGTAGAAATTTCCTTGATTCTATCTCAAGGGCAGCTTCTGCATCAATATCCATACTGTATAGTATCAGGCAACCCCAGATTTTAGTTTAACATGTGTACAACTTCCTTTTCGCTTTTTTGGATCATGGACTGTTCAAAATTCTAGGAAGCAGCTCTTTTTAATGTAATTTAATTTATTATCATATTCACAAAATGCAGCCCATTACCTACCCCTATTCATTTTTAACTATCTTTTTTCTGTAAAACTAATACATAAAATTCCATTTTTTGTTGGAATGGGTTCCATTTTTTTCACATTCAACATAATCATAATCATCAGTTTTTGTTTGAAAGGCTTTGTTTTGATATTGGCTTGACACATTTCCCTGACTATATTTCAGATTTCAAAGATCATGGCAGCCTCGCCAATAGAAACCCCAAGGCTTGCATTTCCTGGTGAATGACTTCTCAAGTCCTTTCTTGGCCATGCTCAGATTCCTTAAACAGGGTCACCCCACAATTCCATCAAACAAAACAGTTCCCATATTCCTAATTGCATCAAGGGTTACCACTTTTCTCACGTTTAAATAGGACAAGCATATATACTCACTCTCAGCATAAAGTATATCTAAATAATGTATTTTCTATTCTAGTGGATTTTTAAAAAAATATTTTGTTTAAGTCTTTGGGAGCCCATCTGGTTTATCTCCTGCTGATAAACATATTTCCTCTACTGTTCAAACTGTGTTGGAACGGGAAAAGATATAAAGTCAACACTTCAATTTGTATTCCTTACTTTCAAACACTTTTCTTATCCCCCCCCTTACCCCCACCAAACAATGCCGATTGGCTGTCCTGGCTTCTTCTGGCTTTTTTTATTCCCATGATGGTGGAACTTGCAGGGGAGACAAATCAAGAACACACTGGATATCCCGTGTCCAAAACATGTTTCCTCTGGCCACTGAAGTCCTCTCCTTAGAACATATTGTCACCCAGAGCTGCATACAAGGCTACCAGCTACTAAGTCAGCCCTGGGGAAGGTCACTTTAGTCACAAAAAAATGCCTCTTTGCATTTCAAGAAAAAAAAATTGTAGCACCATGGTGATCTGTTTTGAAAGAAAATAATCTGGTGTGCACTACCCACTTAAATGGAAATAACAGAGGCACTCGGACCCCCAGCTAAGTTTCCTAAATCTGACCTTGCTTGCTGTGTGCTAAATTCCTAAATATTAATATTTTTTTTCTAAAGACAGAGCTTCTATTATGGAGCACAGGTTTTTACTGTCAATGATGTTTCAGGACAGTTTTATAAGAAACAGTGTCTCTTCCTTTTAGAAGCCTGTTCATTTAGAAACTCCTACAGAAAATAGTGTTATATCTGTTCTTAATATTTCCCCTCCAGTCCTGACATGGTGACATGATGCCTTGCATGATCATCTTACAGTACTGAACGAGAAGGCATAAATATTGTATTGGAGAGTAAAACCCTCCTGGGCTTCCATTCAGGTTCCTTATCCTTCACTGACTGCATCTGCCACTATTCTTCCGTATCCATATACAGATGACACAGAGAGCTAGTGGAGGTGACTTCTTAAAGGAGAATGAAGAGGAAAATAAGAATCACTAGTATCACTGTTATAATTTGGCATTTTCACTTTGAGTCCTTTGATTTTTGGAGGGGTCAAGGAAAGTCATGGGGAAGGTTGGGAACTGAAACTAGTTATTCCCTTCAAATTCTTGCTCATAGTTCAGGCTGAAAGAAAAACAAACCAACAAACAAACCCCCCCCCCCAAAAAAATTTGACATCTGCAAAACCAATATAAAGTCCCTTTTTGGGAGGAGCAGTTAGGTGGATCTTTGATGTTCCAAGATCCTGATGTTTTCTGTGACAGGTTACTGGAATATACTGTGCTATAATGTCAAAAGCATCGCCAGGAGGAACAGTAGGGTTGCCAAAAGCTGGCTGGATATCCTCGGTGTCTGTGCTGCATTCTCACCGCGGGATGGCTCGGCTGACTCATGTACGGTATCATCTGTTCAAACAGAAAGCATACATTCCGATGAGGTTTTGCATCCTTAATAAGCTCTCTTTCAGCAGTCTGCCGCAAGTAGATTTCAGTACCCTCTGTGAAGTAGGGCAGTGAACCTTGTACTAGCATTGACTTCCATGAGCGTGTAATAACTCATTATGTAACAAACTTGGGACCAAATCCTGCATTCCTTGCTTATTCCTTTTTCTGGCAAGACTCCCACTCAAGCCAATGGGAGCAAAAATGAGGGCCTTGGTGGTTTTGCCAGGATAAGGAATGCAGTGTTGCCCCTAAAATAAAACAGTATGGTTCACATTTGCAGGAGGTCTGACTAGATCAGGGGTGGGCAAAGTACGGCCCACAGGCCGGATCTGGCCCACCAGCCCGTTTTAAGCTGGCCCTCAAGCTCCCGCTGGGGAGCAGGGTCTGGAGCTTACCCAACTCCGGTGCTCTGGCGCTCCAACCGGGGCACAGGGTCGGGGGCTGCTCCACACAGCTCCTGGAAGCAGTGGCATGGCCCCCCTCTGGCTCCTATGTGTAGGGGAAGCCAGGGAGCTCCGCTCTGCACGCTTCCCCCGCCCCAAGCACTGCCCCTGCAGGTCCCATTGGCTAGGAACTGCAGCCAATGGGAGATGTAGGGGCAGTGTCCACGGACGGGGCAGCATGCAGAGCCGCCTAGCCGTGGCTCCATGTAGGAGCTGGAGAAGAGACATGCCGCTGCTTCCAGGAGCTGCTTGAGGTAAGCGCTGCCTGGAGCATGCACCCCTGAACCTCTCCCCACGCCCCAACCCCCTGCCCCTGCTCTGATCCCCCTCCTGCCCTCCGAACCCCTCGATCCCAGCCTGGAGCACCCTCCTGCACCTCAAACCCCTCATCTCCAGCCCCACCCCAGAGCCTGCACCACTAGCTGGAGTCCTCACTCCCCTGCACCTCACTCCCCCGCCCCAGCCTGGAGTCCTCTCCCGCACCCTGAACTCCTCATTTCTAGCCCCACCCCGGAGCCCGCACCCCCAACCAGAGCCTCCACCCTCTTCCACACCCCAACCCCAATTTTGTGAGCCTTCATGGCCTGCCATACAATTTCTATTCCCAGATGTAGCCCTCAAGCCAAAAAGTTTGCCCACCCCTGGACTAGATGATCACAATGGTTCCTCCTGGTCTTAGAATCTGTGAAAACTTGGGTATCTAATGTTAGTCACCTAAATCCATATTTACACAGCTAAATAAGAGTGCCTGATTTTCAAAGATTCTTCAGTGGGAGTTGCAGGTGCTTAGCCATTTGAAGATCAGATCCCTTACTTAGCTACCTAAGTATAGATTTAGGAGTCTACCTTCAGACTTCTAAGTTTGGAATGTTGGCCTATGAGTCCACTCCATGTGCAAAACTTCCAGTACAGTCAACTGGAATTTGGGGTGCACAAGGAATGTGGCAAGAGGCTCTGTAATTCCCCCCCCCCCCAGAAGTATGAATACAAGAAAAAATGCTAACAGGTTACAATCACTGATCTGAAAGAGAAAACATGCAAAACTTGATAACTCTTCATAAATAGTTATTTACTATCTATTGTGTATAACAGATTACTCATATCCTCTGCTAAATCTAAAACTAATGTAAATCAGCCAGCATCACTGGAAAAAAATATTGCAAAGTGCATGTATGTTAGTAGTAGAACATAATGGGCAGAACATTTTTTCTCTGTTTATAAGCTTTTAAATTTCTGACAAAATTTCTTATTAACACAATAAGACATTTTAAAGAAACTGTACACAGATCACATTAAACTATCTTTGATATACCTGTAGTTGTGGGTCATTTTACCATTTCCATCACACAAGTATGTATCTCAGAGGTTAAGTTATTGAACTTGGATATTTTAATTTTCATCTCTCTTAAGCTGGGGATAAAAGCGGTCTAAAAAATGTACTGATAACTTGAGACGTTTCTTCTGATCCACCCTAACTAAAAGAGTTTTACAGGAAAATTCACAGCCACTTACAACTTAGTGTAATAAACAACTGCTGCATTTTGTGCAAGATGTGTCTGCATTTCCATGGTGAGTCAAGTAATTCCTATGTATACAAATTATATTGCCAGGATTGTGTACGATGTGAGCTGCGCAACTCTCCTTAGTGACACTGGTGGGGGAAGTAGTGCTAAAAATGCCACACTGTTTTGAAAGTGTACCCCTTAATGTTAGTTTAAAAGCAGTTTTAAAGAAACCCCTATTTGCATTGTAATGGCACCCAACATGCAAGTGCACAGAATATTAAAATATAAAGGAAGTACGATTTTGGGTCCATAGGCTCTTCAGACCCAATCTGAAATCACTGGAATCTGTATAGTAACTTTGACTAGCAATCTATCAAAGGTTTGACTACAGGACAAATTGCCAATGGAACAGTCTCAAGTTTATCATGACATGTTTTCAGTTTTGTTTCAAGGTATAACTATGAAAAGCAGGTACTAAGCATGCAGAGTAACTGATATTCAAAGAAAAATATTGTATTATATTATTTATGTTACATTATAATGGGACAAACACAGTCTTTCATTCAAATGAAAGTACCACTAAAGTCAATGGTAGGCATGTCAGAGTAATGACTTCAGGAGTGGACTAAACTACCTACCGTTTATACACGGGAAAAGCTCTCATTGACTTAAATGGGTTCTGAATCAGGCCCACAGTATCTTTCATCCAGCGTCTTTCATTTCAAAGCACCTTACAAATTACAGTATGTAACTGTAACAGATAGTTAAAGAACTTCACTAGTTCCAGATAACTGGGTCAGAAGGGCATATGGCCCAAAAGCGATGTCACAATTTTTACTTCTGATTTACAAACTTACGTGTTTCACGCTGTTACTTTATGAATGGAAGATTTCTTAAAACAGTCTTTCATTGAAAAAATATTCTGAAAAATTTCTGTGTAAGAATGGCATCTTCCTAATCATCAGATCTGCTCCCAGTGTATATTCAGAGTCCCTATCTGCTCAATTTAGAGGAAAAGTTTACTCACTACTGTCAAACCAAAACTCCTGAGGGAATGAAATCGATTCTCTTCTATCTCACGTATCATCAATAAAATTGCAAACTAAGTTCCATTTCCTGGGCCGCCTATAATTCCCTGTACAACCCTCACTCATGAAATTCTGGCCTCAATCACACCCCTGAAACAGCACTAAAGGCAACAGGGCTGCCCTGGTGTAAATAAAGGCAGAATTTGTGAGTGGTGATTATACAAATGGCAGCTTGAGTTACAGATCCCATGGTGACTGCAGCACTGGCAATTTGGTTAAAACAAAACAAAACAAAAACCAAATCCTTTTTACTTGTAAATGAACAAATCTGGTTTGGAAATCACTGAGACCTAATAGTTGAAGGACCCTATGATGCCATTTTTATAAAGCTGCTTTTCAAAGTAGAACTGCTTTTTTCATGTAACATTATGGGGTACAAATTAAGGGTTTCAAAGTAGAATCTGGGCTTTTTGGCAAGATGATCCCAAGGTCTCTTTGCACTTGTACAGTAGAGCACACTTTTTATCTTTGGTTCCTATATTGCTTTATAAATATTATTATTAATTGCATTTGTGCAGTTAAAACCTTGAACAATCTTAAATACTTAGGGGAAAGGTTTGGCTTATTTTAACAAAAAGCAAAGTTAAACTAGGACCTCTCTAATAAAAACTAGAATGTCACTACCATCGTAGAAGATAGGAAATGAAAACAGACCACACTTTAGTACAACTGTCTTAAATATGAATTTTCTAGATACCATCACTTTAAATTATACCCTGGGGGCCTAATTCTGGCCTGAAATGCACAGCCACAATTTCATTTGAGGGAAGAATTTATTTTAACTTTGCCTTTTTGAATTTGATACATTTCATGGCTTCTGAAGTTTTTATGGGGTTTTATGGCTATAAACCCAAATTCTGTAATTAAGAAGTAACTTTTCACTTGTCAGTTTCCTGCCATTTCCTGATTATGAATAAACACTGTTTGAAACCAGGAAGGTCATCACATAAGTGCCCAATTTTTACAAGAATGATTTCTAGCTAGAATGATTGGCAACTGTACAACGTGCCCCTGACCTGCCCCAACCCTTGTGTCCTTTGTTGACAGAATATGGTGGCGGACAATGTGAGAAGACAGAAAACAGACAAATGCATTCCAAGGACAGGTAAATTAGTACATAGTGCAGACAGCATGCCACAAGATCCACTGTCTTACATCCTAATAATAAAGAAGCACGTCAGCAACGGTCAGATCCAGGAATGGTTAATTATCAAATGGAGATTAGCTCAAATAATTTTGTGAATATGCAATGCTCTTGGGTGTGGGAGTTTTTTGGCAACTGATGTGTTCTAAATATAAACTTCTTATTAAGCCCATCTTTCTTCCTTGTGGCACCACTCCACTTCATCTCTGTCTGCAGGATGCCCACCATGTGGTTTAGTCTCCCCATTGCCTGATGTCTTCTAATGATTTGCTTCTGTTACTGTGCTAAGTAGGTGCTACAGAGTCAATGGGAGCTGCAGGTGCTCAGCACTTTTGAAAATGTGACCCGCTATCTTTACTGAAAGCACTTCTTTGTTATTGGTCTCACCCAGACTGAAGTCTTTGCTGCAAACCATTAACAAAGGGTGTATGCATTAATTAGCCAGTATTCACTACATTTCATATCTGAAGAAAACACATAGGGCTTCTAGATTCTTAGGTTATGAACAATTAGGGAGATATTGCCCTTATGGTCTCTTCTAGGAGTAAAACTACTACATTCATTGTGACAAAAATACATTGCTTGGAGTCAGCATGCATTTAAATTCTCATTTGTTTAGAGAATCTAGTCGGTTCCCAAAATCAACACATTTTAGAGAGCCGTGAACATCCTCTTGAGTAAAAAATAATGAAAGACAGTGTATGTCCACAGGCATATCATTCAGACTGGTAAATTTCTTAAAGTCTTATTTATTTTGCTGCCTAATAACCTAGTTCAGCTGAAAGAATCAGCAAACATATCCAGTACAAAACGGAGCAAGGAAAAATTAATTTGTTGCTTCATATCAAAGGGAAGTTCCTTTTTCAAGTAACTTAAAAAAGAAGGTTCTTGTAGTGTGCTCCCTGAATTATGCATTAAAAATTGTGTCTGTGTAATTTTTTGTATAGTGTGTTTAATTACCCATTTTCAATTAGTAGTGCATTACTATGTGTGCATGTCTCTATACAATACACATCTAGGCCCTGATTCTCCAGAGCCTTACACACATGCTTAATTTTGATCATGTGTAGTCCCATTGAAGTCAGTGGGGTTAGTCATTTTCTTAAAGTTAAGCATGTGTCTAAATCTGTGCATGATCTGAACCATATATAAACACACACACACATTTTCATGGCTGACATTAATTTGACTTATTGCTGACTCTGCACTTGGGTGGGAGGAGAGAAGGAGAATGCTTATATCACCAAATATTTCCTTTCTTTCTGTTTTTAAGGCTACAACACTTGGATACAAAGAGAGGCCACAAGATTTTAGAATATATTTGCTCTTGTATGTGGACCGCAAGATGACATGATTACAACTCTCTTGTAAAAACTAGATGGGGAAAATTTATAACAACACTTTGCCTAACTAAGTGTACAAATGAATTATTTAGGAAAACACTAACTTTTATCAGTTACATGCCTGTGTCATGCATTAGTATTAAATAAGCAGTACCCAATTCCTTTTAAATGTGCATACAAACCACATGAAACCAGAGTATTTACAGTTCAGACATTTGCTATCTTTCTTAAACTCTGGACCCATTTAGTAGATAGAGTGGTTTGTCAACATGCTGGGGGTGTGAGATGGAACAAAAAGTGACTTCTGGACACTTCACTGGAGATTTTAAATTTGGGAACTGCATTTTATTAACCCATATGCCACAAAAAAGCAACATTTTGTCTCCCATGCATTACATAAGGATACTGGAGGTATGAGGTATACCATAAGCAATATTAGCACTGCTAGAAATGAGCCAAAGCAGAGCAATTATACCATGCAAAGCATGCAGAGAGAAAGAGAGGAAAAAAAGTACTGAAGCACCAGAGGGATAGACGCATTTGTTAAAAGAGATTCTCTAAGCATACTAACCTGCTGGTTCTAATGAATTTTCTACTTTGTCGTTAACATCGAAAACACGATCATGAACACCTATAGTTTTCATACAGCTGTCTATAACAAAAATAGAGATAACAGCCAAATATGTTAGTGAGACACCCTTAAACTCCCCTTTCCTTTTTTTTTCTATCTTTTCTCTCTATTTTTTTAAAAATATATATCTATATATATTTATATTTTAAAGTCTGCGGCACTTGTCCAAATGCCAGTATAGTCGTCCATTTGTACAACAATTTAAGAAACAACAAGTTAGCAACTGCTAGGTAATAAAACAAAAAGCTTTATGAAGAATGATAAGAAAATATGATGAAAACTGAAACACAAATGTTGCTATACAGAACAAATACCACACAAGATTTAACAGTAAAAAAAACAAAAAGGTTTATTGCTGTTTACCAGACCACACAGTAAAGCATGCGCTATAAAGCCACCCTCTAAAGCTTGATCTAAAGAACTTACTTGCTGGCCGCACAAAGACTTTAAGCTTTAGACAGGACCTCCTTCCATTATCAGGGATTGCAGAAGCTGTAAAAGAAGAGAAAGAGAGAAAAAAATACAGTTATTCTTTATCTTAAAGGCAAATATCCCAGATCTTCTGAGGAGAATATAGCTATTCCAAGCTCTGCCATACAAAGAAAGGAACAAAAAAGTCAAGTACCCGGGTATCCTGGCTATGCAAGTGCATGAAGAGAATTGCAGGCCAGACTATGTTAAACGAACACCTGTCAGGAATGGTCTATTTATTATTTAGTCCTGCCTTGAGTGCATGGGACTAGACTTGATGACTTACTGAGATCCTTCCAGTCCTACACTTCTATGATTCTATGTCCCTATTTTAAAAAAATGGGAGAAACAAAGCACAGGATATTTTTGAAAGTTTCAATCTCCCCAACCCTTGTTCTCAACAGCCTATTTAACATTATTTGTACTCCAGGTGCTTACCTTGGAAAATGACACACTACAATATTTTTCCAAAACTCACAATTAAATGGATCCTCCTGAGTTTACAAAAGGAAAAGCTAGTCTTGATATTGGTCGGTTTTAGGATTAGTGCCACAAAATGGGGACCAGACCAGCACAAAATGAAATGGTAGGGGATGACTTTTAAAAAATAGTTATCTGAAGAAAATTAACATAACCTGACTTTACTAAGGTAACACAGTGCTTATGTTCCTAAAACTTGTTTGCCAGTGATACACAGGATCTACTCAAAACTTCACCCCCCATCCTATACAACTAAACTAAAATAGCCACCTCCTACTTGCCATTCAAATTATGTCATTATACAGGTAATACCCAAAGAGAAAAATATGAAATTAATAACAGGGCCATAATACTAAATTTCATACTGTGCAAAAGAGAATTTGGGGAAGACAATGGTTAGTGTCTACTTGTTTCCCCATGACAAATGCAGCTCCACACATTTCTGTCATTTAAGGGACTAGTGTGTCCTTAAAATGCATGGTGAGTACTGTAAATTACACATCCACAAGAGGAGAATATAGATCCCTTGAGGTAAATTTTCTACTAGTTTCAAATGATCTTTGGCACCTGCATAAATGTTTGCAACTACAAAATTGTAAGCACACCTGTATCTGTGCATGTAAACTGAGAGTCAAGTCACCTGCATTCAGCATGGAAATCCCCACTCATACAGGACATTCTTCATGTGCAAACACTTTGGGGCACTTTTTATGGCCCCAAATATAAGAGGTTGTAGCTGAAAGCATAGCCCATAGTGTTGCAAAGAATTTTTATTTCAATACACAGAATCCACAGTGATTTAAAGAGCTATGTATTGGCTCATAGCAAGTGGTTCTGTGTTCCAGAAAATGACAACAATTGGGAGCTGTCTTGGTTTACAAGAAGATTTTTTGGGGAAAAAGTGATTTTGTTCTCTGTCTCTCACTCCTGTCTCATCTGTTTTTATTAACTGTGTCCTCCTCTGTGTGACAGATAACTAAAATGATTTACCCACACAGACACAAACTCACACACTCTCTGTGAGGTAACAGTGTACTTGAAACACTCTGAACTAACTTAAAATAACCTCTCCTCACTCCTAGATTCCTTGCTTCTGGGCTGGCATCAGTGTGAAGAACCAGCAAATTCACCATGCAAACAAAAGAAAGAAATTAAGCAGAACTGGTGCTCTGATTCTGTGCCCGTTGGCAAGTGCAAGAGAGATTGTCTCCTTCTCTTAATCACAAGACAAAAATATAGAGAAATGATGCTTTCCCCCTCTTGTGCACAATGACAAGCCATTAAGAAGTGCTAACAGCTGGCTTTGCTGTAGGCTCTCACTAAATCAAACTCAGAAAAACTCCCTCTGCTGACATTTACAGTAACTGGTGTGTTATTTAGGGCACAATATTTGCACTCTGTGGTTACATCCAGGAAATTATGTCCTTCCTATGGCCCCATGACTGTATACATGCAACCAGTTAATACTTTGCTTAGACTACATACGTAGTCATGGATTATTTATAGAAAAAAAACTATATCTATTCCTACATTACTAATATAGATATGGTGATACCATTCTACATATAACCATTTCCACTGCTAGCCTAAGCAAAGGCCAACACATACTTGATTCACCACTTAACAGTTCTACCTTGTGTAGAAAATGATTTTAGAAATGATCCAGCAAGGTACATATACGTAATCAAAGGCAGAATGTAGCCCTTACATTTTAAGTCTGGAAACTGTTATTCAGTTTCATAAACAAGATTGCATGGATTATTGTTATTTATTAGAGCAGTTTGCTAACTGTGATGAAAGTAGTCCTGTGATAAATAGGATTAATATTTTATCTGGGAAAATAGAAAAGTGATGCTTTGAACACACCTCCAGTGTTGACTATAACCTGCAATGCCACAGCTAGAAGCAAAAACTTACCGAGACAATTATTATTTGATGGTCTGTGTTCTTTGGAAGAAAAAAAGGGGTATCCTATCTAGCCCTCCTTCCTCAGAAAAGCCTCAAAAATTGTAATATAGGTGTGGTAAACAATTTTCTATACCACCAGCTGATTGATATTTCCATGATAAAAGTACGACTACAATGTAACAGTTACATTAAATTCCCCCTCCTAGGAACAGATGCACGCTTTGATGATAGACATGAGGTAAGAGCTTCCCTCCTCTCCCCCCCCAGGAAGTCATTTATTTTGTATGCTTACAGTAAAACAAATGCATAATACTCCTCATTCCCCATACTGTTTTATTACCTCAGGAGGAAAAACATTCAGTTGAGTTATTGTCCTGCTCTCAAATCTGCCTGAACTATCAAGAGTAAGGTGATTAAGGGACACAGTGTAATCTTTCTGGACTTCCTGAGAAATTAAGAATTGCCTGCCAAACTGGACTACTGCAATCAATTTTTATTTCTTCCCTTCCTTCTCTCTTTTCATCTTAAAGAAAGCAAAAACAAAAGAAACCCCCAAAACCCAATGACCAGTTAGTGTACACTTTAGATCCAGATGTATTACTCACAGGAGGGACTTAAGGTGACTCCTATTATCTGTCCTCTTTACACATACTGCGGCAGGCCTGCCAGTATCATTGCATCTTCCAAGACCTGCTTCCTTCTTCTTACTCTGAAATAGTTTGCATGCTCATCTCATGAAACTCAATCCCAAAGATTTTCGGTATCTATCTTAATCCTTTCATCTGGGCTGAGATGGTAACATGATTGGCTGCCTCTGGATCCTCTCTTTCTGAATGGTGAATATTACGCACAACACAGACTTTGTCTTGACTAGGAAACACTGTCAGAGTTTTTAGGTTGAGTTTAGTTAACACTTGCTAGCTATATCTGATCTAAACGTAACCTGTTTCCCAATGCAAATGCATGGTACCACCCTGAAGTTCAATGTAACTAGTCGAGTTGTTGCATAGGCTCCCATCCTGCTGTTTAAAAGTAACTTTATTGAGAGTTTTTAGCTTCATATAACCCTCAGGGCTTGGCTACACTTGCAGCTGTACAGCGCTGTGAGGTAAACCTGTCTTCGTACAGCTGAGTAGGGAAAGCGCTGCAGTCTGTCCACACTGACAGCTGCCAGCGCAATGGCGTGGCCACACTTGCAACATTTGCAGCTGTGTTGGGAGCGGTGCATTATGGGCAGCTATCCCAGCATTCACGTGGCTGCAACGTGCTTTTCAAAACAGGGGTGGGGTGGGGTGGAGTGTGACAGGGAGTGTGGAGGGAGAGAGAGTGCTTTTTGGAGCATGTCAGCACTCTATGTTGCAAGTTCTGAACTCCCGACCCCCTGCTCATTCATTCACTCACTCAAAGCAAACTGCAAACTGTTTGCTTTTTCTCTGTGGTACGAGCTTTGAAACCGGCACTTCTGCATTCCTGCAGCCGGTCACAACAATGGAGAGGATTGGCCACTTGACAAGGTGATCAGTACAGCGCTGCAGGTTGATTCCTGGTACACACTCACAGGGGAGAGTCGTAGCCACTCTGCTGTATCTCTTATGCTTCTCGGGGAGGTGGAGTACCTGCAGCGGTGTACCCAGGGAGATACAGCGCTGTACGTGCCTTGCCAGTGTAGCCGGTCAGTGAGTTACAGCGCTGTGGGCGGTTTTACAGCGCTGTAACTCGCAAGTGTAGCCAAGGCCTCAGTCCTCAGGGTGACTTAGAAGTAGGCATTGCGAATCACAGCTACAAAGAAACACTGCCAATGTGACCAAAGATGCACCACACATACTGCTGAGATTAAAGTCTAAATACGCGCTTTGTAATTCCTTACAAAGAAAACTGCTAATCAGATTTTATGATAACTTTCATGGGCAAGGCAGGAGGAATAGTATTTCAGCTAGGACCCCAATGAATTTAAAATTTCAGAATGCCTCAATACACCCAAGAAGTTAATCTCTGAAGCTCCAGATGGAAAGCTCTAGGCACTGGTGATCAGGATTAACCCTGTTGCACCAGGATTACTATATTTGGAAGGAGCTATTGTTTGACTTCCACACCTAATTGAGGAGAATAGGACAGCCATAGTCCTCAAAGTGCTACTGGAATGACCACTGCCTGGTCTTTGTATATTTTCCTGGCCATTTTTCCTTTCCAAGGGAAGGTGGAAAAACAGGAGGTAGACCAGGGCAAACTTCAAGGAGACTCTTGTGCTTACTCCTGGATGATCATGAAATAAGCAGAATCTGTGAACTCTGCAAAAGGAGAGAGTGAACTAGCCCCTTTATAGGGGAAACCTATTTCAGTTGGAATCTATAGCATATCTTCAGGAAAAGATGCCATTTGCCTGTTGCTAGAATCTATTGAAATTAGATACTGTATGTTGCTACAAAAAGTCTTGTGTCTGGACAGTACCTGGGGAAATACCAGTTCTCTTTGGCTGCAGAGAATCTAGTTCATCTCTCAGGCCTTGCTATAGGTCTTTTCTATTTGTACTATCAGAGATGTACAAATAGAGGCCAGTCCCAAGAGCAAGAAGCCTCTGATGCAAATGAAATCTGTCCTAAGCAATGCCCCCCATTCCACATGGCAAAATTCCT